TCTCTGTGCCTGTTTCCTCCTCTAGAAAATGGGGATTTCAGCTGAATTTCCTTACAAGGTGTTGAGAGGATTAAGTGGGCCAATTTTTGTTGGAGCTCAGCTCCTCTGCGAGTAGAAAAGGGTGAGGAGGAGGCCCTGGCCTCGTGGATGGGGCTAGGGTGAAGGCCAGCAGTGTGGAGTCAGACATAAACTTTATTCATTCATTTATTCCACAGGATTTGATTTAACCTGCTCAGTAAGCCTGTGAAACAGAATCTGTTATCATGCTGTTATTATCATCACTGTTCTTTTGGGACTGAGTCTCACTCTGTCGCCCAGCCTGGAGTTCAGTAACATGATCATAGCTCACTGCAGCCTCACACTCTTGGGTTCAAGCCATCCTCCCACCTCAGCCTCCCAAGTAGCTAGAACTACAGATGCTCCCTAAGCCCAGATAATTTTTAAAAATTTTTGTAGAGACAGGGATTCACCTTGTGGCCCAAACTGTTCTTGAACTCCTGGTGTCAAGGACTCCCTCCTTTGCCTTGGCCTCCCAAAGTGTTGTGACTACAGGAACACACCCCATGCCCGGCCACATTCCCCATTATTAAAGTCACAAAGGGCCGGGCACGGTGGCTCATGCCTATAATCTCAGCACTTTGGGAGACCAAGGCAGGTGGATCACTTGAAGTCAGGAGGTCGAGACCAGTTTGTTGGCCAAACTGGCGAAAGCCAGTCTTCACTACACATACAAAACTTAGCTGGGCGTGGTGGCGCACGTCTGCAGTCCCAGCTACTCGGGAGGCTGAGGCAAGGAGAAACACTTGAACCAGGGAGTTTTTATACAAAAATCATAAAAATAAAGTCACAAGGAAGGCACAGAGAGGGAAAGCCACCTGCCTAAGGTCACACAGCTAGTACATGGAAGAGCCGGGCTCAGCATGTTGAATCCTCTTTTCCCCAATGAAGCAGGTCCTGCTATTAAAAACATAGGATATTTGATGATGACAATAATAACATATAACATTATTTTATTTTGTTTTATTTTATTTTATTTGAGGAGTCTCACTCTGTCGCCCAGGCTGGAGTGCAGTGGCATCAACGATCTTGGCTCACCGCAACCTCCGTCTCCTAGGTTCAAGCGATTCTCCTGCCTCAGCCTCCCGAGTAGCTGGGACTACAGGCGCGTGCCACCACAGCCAGCTAATTTTTGTATTTTTAGTAGAGATGGGGTTTCACCATGTTGGTCAGGCTGGTCTCGAACTCTTGACCTCATGATCTTCCCACCTCCACCTCCCAAAGTGCTGGGATTACAAGCATGAGCCACTGCGCCCAGTCTATAATGTTATATTATTATTACTGTAATAAAACTAATAGCAACTAAATTGCATTGAGAGATTTCTATACATCAGGCCCCATAGGACAGAGTCATATTTTCTTGATGTGGTTCACTCTACAGATCAGGACTGAGGCTCCATGAGGGTAAGTAATTGCCCAGAAGTCACAAAGCTAATGAGCAGGAGACAGGATTTGCACCCAGGCCTCAGTTCAAAGCAAAATAGGACAAGGAGGCCAGGTGTGGTGGCTCACACCTGTAATACCAGCACTTTGGGAGGCCGAGGGGGGAGGATCGCTTGACCCTGAAGTTCAAGACCAGCCTGGACAACACAGCCCCCTCTCTACAATTTTTTTTTTAATTAGCTAGATGTCATGGCACATGCCTGTAGTCCCAGCTACTTGGGAGGTTAAGGCAGAAGCATCACTTGAGCCCAGGAGTTCAAGGCTACAGTGAGCTATGATCCCACCACTACACTTCAGCCTGGGAGACAGCCAGATCTTGTCTCAAAAAAAAGCAGGACTAGACCCAATAATTGAGCCAGATGGGAACTTAGGGCCTGCCCAGTCCTATTCTCTCCTCTTAGAAAGAGAAATTGAGACCCCTGAGAGCAAGAAAGCTGCCTCAAGCCTACAGACTTCCAGATGGAATTTCATTTCCCTCTCAGGGCCTTGCAGGTAAATTCCTGGCCTTTCCTCCCCCAGGATGGGTGGGGGAAAGAAGCAGCAGCGGGGAGATCTGAACAGGTACATATGGCAGCCTGCTTGAGGGGAAAGTGGTTAGACACCAAGCAGAACTTCCGGGCCTCCTCTGGGAAGTTTCTGAGACCCATCCAGGGGCTGCCCCTGCCAGTGGGGGCCCTCCAGAGCACAAGGCTCAGAGAGGGGAGACCCTAGTCCTTTCCACCTGGGGTGCAAGGAGCAGGGGGGAGGGGGGGCCATCCTGGTTCCGCATCCTCCATTCCCGACACTGGAGGGAGGCCGCTGTGGGAGCTGGGACTTTCCTGAAAGCAGAAGATTCTGGGAAATTAGAGACAGCTGCAGGGCGGGGCTGCCTCCCGGCCTCCCTTCCTTCCCTCCCCTTGGTCCCTGCTGGCTCTGGAGGCACGCCTCTCTTCCCCTCCACCCCACTAGCTCCTCCTCCCCTTGACCATGCCCTCCACCCTCAGACCCTCATATCTCTTCCCCCATACCTCTTTCTCCTCCCTCAGATCTGGCCTCTACTCTCAGACTCTCTCCAAATCTGCTTCCCTCAGACCCCTGTTTCCCTCCAACTCTCTCCTCCTCCCTCAGAGCTGTGTCTCCTCACTTAGTGCTTCCCAGACTTCTTCAGACTGTGCCCTCTCCCTCAGATACTCTCCTCTCCACAGGCCCTCAGCTCCTCCATCAGATCCTCACCTCCTCCCTCAGACCCTCACCTCCTCCCTCAGACCCTCACCTTCTCCTTAGACCCTCACCTCCTCCCTCAGACCCTCACCTCCTCCCTCAGACCCTCACCTTCTTCTTCAGACCCTCACCTCCTCCCTTACTTATCTCCTCCTTCAGACCCTCACCTCCTCCATCTGGCCCTGTCCTCCTCCTTCAGACTCTCTCCCCTCCTCCCACTAAATCGTCTATTTCTCTCTCAGACCTGTCTTCCTTCTTCAGATCCTCCTCCTTCAGACCCTTTATCCCTCATCCAACCTCAGAGAACCATCGGCACCCTCTCTCCCGGCCCTTTGAAGCCCCCACTGGACCCAGCACGTCTTCTCCCCTCTTCGGTCTTGCTAGGTTGGAACCACTGCCCCACCTGCCCCGGGGATGCCAGGAGTGGGGCACGCTTGGGTGTCCTTCCAACCCTACCTCTGAGGGGCCCCACCCTGAGCCTCACCCCTCCACCCCTCAGCTTTCCTTTCTGCAGTGGAGTAGTGCCCACACCCCTCTCCTGTGTCTGAGGGTCCCCAGAGGTGGAGTTGGGTGGGCAGGGAACACAGCACACAGCCTGTCCAACCCAATTCCTCCCCCTCTTCCCTTGCTGTGGCCCGCACAACACCAGCAGACAGGGGTTGCCATTGGTCCCATTTTCCAGAAGAACAAACTGAGTCTCAAGATGGGGGATGGCTTGTCTGAGGTCCCACCAGAAGCACGGGGTGGAGGTGGAATTTGAACACAGGTCTGTGCTAGGGATGTTTCACCATGAGGAGTATACAGGAGATCCAGAGAGAAGCAGGAAGGATCAGGGAGGGAAGGGGTGAGGCTTCTCCCTGCAGCCACTTCTCACATCCTGGGTTAACGATCCACTCAGGTGGGGCCCGAGTCGGGCCAAAGTCCCTTCCCGGGGCCCCAACACCCATTTTCAAGGTCTCAGGGGCCACAGAGGCAGCGTCAGAGATGGGGAGACAGACAGAGGGCGGGGCGGGAGGCAGCCGGGGGAGGCCAGGTGAGTTTCAAAGACAGAAGGAGACCCAGGGAGAGAACCGGGGCAACGCTGCTTGCCCTCTGGGCAGGTCCGGGCTGCAGCCCCCATACCCCGCCCTCTGTATCCCCAAAGCCTCCCTTTCCGCCTCCTGTGACTCAGTGACCCGGACTCAACCCCAGCGGCTGCCCCGCCCCTAGGGAAATCCGGGAAAGCCCCGGACCTTCGGGGCCCCACCCCGGGGCGGGGAGAGGGAGAGGAGGGGAGGGGAGGAGACCGGGAAGAAGCCCGCCTCCCCCCTCCTTCCCTCCCAGCTCCAGCCTGAGTCATGCCCCCAACCGGCCCGGCCTGTTCCCCACCCACCAACCCCCTTCGAGGTGGGAGGAGGTAGGGGGGAGTCAAACTTCCCCCCTCTGCTCCAGCAGCCCGGCCTCGGTCGCTCTGACTCTGGCCTGGTGTCTGCGTCTCTTGCTATCTCCCTCTCTCTCAATATCTCTGCGTCTATCTCCAGATCTCTTTCTCTCTGTGCAGCTAGGATTTTCTGAGCACCCCTGTGCCCCGCGGGCCCCTGCTGGGTGCAGGGCCCCACCGCGGGCAGAGACACAATCAGTGGAGCGCTCCCCACCCCCACCCCCACCCCACCCCCAGCAACGTTAGACCCACAGCTGATGAGGCACGTGGAGTGGCAGAGATGGAAGAGGGGAAGGAGAGGAATCGTTCCTGGGCGCCTGCCGAGTGCCAGTCCCTGCCCCGGGTGTGTCTCTTCACTCCCATTAAGGAGGAAACGGCTCAGAGAGGGGAAGTGTTTGACCAAGGTTACCTAGCGAGGAAGTGGAACCAATGGAATCGGGATTCGAACCCGCGTCCCAGAGATGCCAAGGCCTCCTGAGAGGCAGAGAAGCAGACAGCAACCGAGAGACAGAGAGATGGTGAGAGACACAAAGAGACAAAAGAGAGTCAGAGACAGAGCACACACACAGAGACAAACGCGGGGGTGCAGAGACAAACACCTACTCAGGAGAACCAGAGAGACAACCGCAGACTCAGAGACAGAGAGACTGAGAGATAGGGCCAGAAAGGCAAAAACAGAGGCAGAGAGACTGAGAGCTGCCCTAAGCAGCAGGGGTGGGGACCCCAACCCCCGACCCCGCCTCCTCTCCCCCACCCTGCCTTTCCTCCCCCTCCCGCGCCGAGGCCTGGCTGCCCCGGACGCCACTGGCCGGGAGGGGGCGAGCGGGGCGCGGCGCGGGCGGGGCGCACGGCGGGCTGCAGCGCAGGACGGCGGGAGCAGCGGCAGGTCCAGGAAACCCCTGGGGCGTACGGGTGGCCCCGGGGGGGCCGGGGGCGGGGAGGCGGGCGGCCGGCACCGCCCCGGCCGACAAAAGTCCCTTCAGTTCAGCCGGCTGCAGGGGAAGTCCCGGCGCCCGGCGAAACCACCCTCCGGTGCAGCCAAGCCGAGCCGCGCTCCGGCCGCCGTCCCCGGCGGCCCCATGCCCCGATGCCCCGCGGGGGCCATGGACGAGGGGCCCGTGGACCTGCGCACCCGGCCCAAGGCCGCCGGACTCCCGGGCGCTGCGCTGCCTCTCCGCAAGCGCCCGCTGCGCGAGCCCTCCCCGGAGCCTGCTGCTCCCCGCGGCGCTGCGGGCCCTGCCGTCCCCCCGGACCCTCTGCGCGGCGGCTGCGACCTGCCCGCGGTCCCCGGGCCCCTCCACGGCCTGGCCCGGCCAGAGGCGCTTTACTACCCGGGTGAGTGGTCCCCGAGGGTCCGGGCCGGGTGGGGGCCACACAGAGCATAGGGTCACCAGAGTCAGGAGACAGAGCTCGGGACACCAACCGATGTCTCTCGGGGGACTTAGGGGACAAGAGAATATAACCCAGGTCTCAGGGAGACAGATAGGAGATCATCAGGAAGCTGTGCCTTGGGACACAGATATGAGGGTCCCAGGGATCTGGGGATTTGGGGACCCTGGGGGACAGAGCCCAGGGGCCGAGTGACATGAGGGGGCCAGGGACAGTGCCCAGTAGTACAGATATGGGGGTGTCAGGGAATCAAAGGACACAGCCTGGTGTCCTAGGGACAAAAAATTACAAGCTCTTAAGCCAGATATGTAGGGTTATGAAGAAACTGAACTGGGCTGGAGAAACTGGGGTTCCTGGTACCCTGATATTAGAATCAAACGGTAGCAGATTGGGGTTCTAAGGAGACAGATACTGAGGATCTCAGGATGTCGCAATCTCAGGAACCAAGATATTTGGAGACATGGGCATTATGAGAACAGAGACAGGGTTCTGATCACCCCAATATCTGGGATCACAGGATCCAAGGAAATGAACCAGAGCTCCAGGGACCCACATACCAGGGGGTCTTGAGGAGCCAGGGGAACAGAGACCGGGGTTCTGGGTACCCAGGTGTGTGGGGCTACAAGTGATCAGGATCCTATTTGGGGTTCAAGGTCAGGTGGCTGTGAGGGTATCAGGGGACTGAGGAGCCTAAGAGTGGGTAATTCTCAGACTCGATAATTTAGAGCCAGGATGAGAGATTCAGGGGTCTCCAGACAGAAAGCCGCAGGGCCCCAAGGCCGGGTATTGGAGATATCGGGACCTGGAGACTTGGGAGTTCAGGGACAGAGGGCACACAAGGATCAGCAGATGATGGAGAAGGCCACCCACTCTTCTCTCCATCTCATCTCCATCCCTGAGCTCAAGGAAGGGGTGTCCCCTACCACAGCTGTAGCCACGTCACCATCCCCAATTGACCCCCAAAGCTGCAGAGAGCTCTTCTCCAGAGCCCCAGAACTTGACATAGTTTCTGCACCTTCCACCCCATCAGCGCAACAGCTGGAGAGCCTCAAGCTGTATGTGTCAGTTCTGCCACGGCCTCCCAGCTTTTCCCATTCACAGAGTGAGAACACAGGCCTCAGTTTTCCCTGTCTGTGTGATAGGTTGGTATGGATTTGCCTGCTGCCGTGCATGGTCCCCCTACCCTTTTTTTTTTTTTTTTTTTTGAGGTAGAGTTTTGCTCTCTCACTCAGGCTGGAGTGCATTGGTATGATCTCGGCTCACTGCAACCTCCGCCTCCCAGGGGCCAGTGATTCTTGTGCCTCAGCCTCTGAGTAGCTGGAATTATAGGTGTGCACCACCACGCCTGGCTAATTTTTGTATTTTTAGTACAGACCGGGTTTTGCCATATTGCGCAGGCTGGTCTTGAACTCCTGACCTCAGGTGATCTACCCGCCTCGGCCTCCCAAAGTGCTGGGATTACAGGCGTGAACCACCAGGCCTGGCTGGCCGTGGCCCCTTTTGATGGTTTGATCTAAAATGAACCATGCATAGTGGTGGGTATCTGTAATCCCAGCTACTCAGGAGGCTGAAGCAGGAGAATCGCTTGAACGTGGGAGGCAGAGGTTGTAGTGAGGCAAGATCTCGCCGCTGCACTCCAGCCTTTGAACAGGCTTCTGGTGCCACCTCTTCTCTCCTTCCACTCTCCCAAACCCACTCTCCATGCATCCCACACCCTGTCCCCAGCTCTTCATCTGTCCCTCACCACCCTCAGCCACAAAATCACTCCACAGGCAGGCCCTGGGCTCCCCCGCTAGGTGAGGATGGGTGCTCCCTCTGTCCTTAAGGGACCCTTTGTCTGGTTGGAGTCTGGGGTCAGAAGATAAGTGACAATGAGGGTGACCAGCCCTGAAGGGAGAGGAAGCTGCCGGAGCCCAGGGGAAGGATGTGGAAGGGAGTTTGTTCTAGGCCCTGAGGACCCCATATGGGATGCAAAACGGCCCCGGGAGAAAGGGCAGGTGACACCGCAGAAGCAAAGACCTGGAAGTGGGGACAGGGTTGAGGGTCTGTGGGCGTGGTCTCACTCATGTCCCTTCTCTGTCCCCATTGTCTAGGACCCTTACTGCCCCTCTACCCTGCCCCGACCATGGGCTCCCCGTTTCCTCTGGTGAACCTGCCTACACCCCTGTACCCCATGATGTGCTCCATGGAACATCCCCTTTCTGCTGACATCGCCATGGCTACCCGTGCAGATGAGGATGGAGACACGTGAGTGACAGCCACCTATTATGGGGAGGGGACCGTGGGGAGGCCAGCCCTCCATAACAGGGCCACTCAGCTCCTGAGTCAGAACTCAGTCTCCACCGCAGGCTATGTGACCTCGAATAAGGCCCTTCCCCCTCTCTGAGCCTCAGTTTCTTCCTCTGGAGAATGGGCACCTTGAGAGCACTTACCTCCTAGGACATTATTTTTATTTGGGTGGTTTTGTTTTGTTTTGTTTTTTGCTTGAAACAGGTCTCATTATGTTGCCCAGGCTGGAGTGCAGTGGCACAATCTCGGCTCACTGCAGCCTCCACCTCCCGTGTTCAAGCAAGTCTTGTGCCTCAGCCTCCCGAGTAGCTGAGACTATAGGCACCCACCATCAAGCCTGACTAATTTTTGTATTTTTTGGCAGAGATGGGGTTTCACCATGCTGGCCAGGCTGGTCTTGAACTCCTGACCTCAGGTGATCCACTCGCCTCAGCCTCCCAAAGTGCTGGGATTACAGGCGAGAGCCACCATGCCCCCCCCAGAACACTATTTTTGGAACAATGGTCTTCAGATTTTTTATCACAATCTAAAAACAAGAAAGACAGTTCATTGATTAACTTACTGTATAAATTATACATGTGAAGCTCCTATCACTGGACCTGGCATAAATGTTGAGTGTTTGTTAATATTATTATTGCTTTATCTCAAACCCAGCACACACACTTGATAAACTTGAAATTAAAATTGCACAAAATGGGCTGGGTGCACCTGTAATTCTAGCACTTTGGGAGGCTGAGCCATAAGTGATCTGCCTAATCACTTGAGATCAGGAGTTTGAGACCAGCCTGGCCAACATGATGAAACCCAGTCTCTACTAAAAATATAAAACTTAGCCAGGCATGGTGGCACATGCCTGTAGTCCCAGCCACCTGGAGGCTGAGGCAGGAGAATCGCTGGAATCCAGCAGGCGAAGTCTGCAGTGAGCCAAGATCTCACCACTGCATTCCAGCCTGGGCAACAGAGTGAGACTCTGTCTCAAAAAAATAAATGCACAAAATGAAACAATACTCAGCCTTACTATGCAGAATCTACTTTGACATTTTCTTTTTTTCTTTTTCTTTTTCTTTTTTTTTTCTGAGACAGGGTCTCAATCTGTCACTCAGGCTGGAGCGCAGTGGTGCAATCATAGCTCACCGCAGCCTCGACCTCTTGGGCCCAAGTGATCCTCCTGCCTCAGCCTCCTGAGTAGCTGGGACCACAGCCACTCCCCCTACACCTGGCTAATTTTTGTTTTTTTGTTTTTGTAGAAACATGGGGGTCTTGCTATGTTGCCCAGACTAGTCTCAAACTCCTGGGCTCAAGTGATCCTCCCACCTCTGCCTCCCAGCGTGCTGGGATTACAGGTGTGAGCCACCGAGCCCGGCTTTACAGCTTTACTTTGCCATTTTCTATTCTAGTCGACTTCATTGTTTCATGCTCACAGCCCACTACATTAATTTGACAATCCCCTAAACTGATTTCACAACCCCCGTGGTTTATCACCTGCAGTTTGAAGAATACATTTGTGAGGCTGCTGAGAAATCCCTCATGGGAGGGTTTAGTCTGTGCCTAGCACATAGTAAGCACTCGATACAACTGATCATCGTGATTCTTATTATTCTATTGACCTGGGTTTGCATCTCAGCGTGGCCACTTTCTCCTCCCTCTGTGCCTCAGTTTCCCTCTCTGAAAAAACAGGAACCATCATGTGTGAGGGTCTGGGGCAGGGGGGAAGAAATGACGCAATTTATACAAAGCGCTTATGTGAGAATTCGTTTGGGGACTGGAAACCACAGGTAGAGATGAACAGAGAAAGAGCAGGGGGCTGCTCTGCCACTGGGCCACTGAGTGACTTCACGTTCCTGAGCCTGCTTCCCTATTTGGAAACTGGGTCTCATCATAGCACCTATTACAATTAGGATTCAGTGAGATCTTGTATGCATTTATTCATACGGTGCACAGGGCAGGGCTGGGCAAACAGTAAACGCTCAATGCATGGAAATGGGTCGTGTTTGAGCAGAGCTCCCCGGGTGGTTGGTTGCAGGTCATCCTGAGAGCCCAAGCTGGAGAAAGTGCCCGAGATTATAAAGAGCTAATAAAACCTAGTTCCTTCCCTAGTTCTGGGTATCTCTGGGGGGTCATCTATGAAACGGGCTTAATTAGTCTGCAGGGGTGAGCTGTCCACGTCGCTGAAAAGCAGGCTGCGAGCTAGAGGCCACCCGGTCCACCAGTCTCCAGCCCCGGGCCCTCCCCCCACCCTCCCTCCCCGACTCTCCGACTCTCCCCCTAGGCAAACACTTCTGCCTCAGCTGCCTGCTGGGGGAAATCCCTTCCCGCAGAACTTGACCGCAACCCAGCTGCTCTGCCACCCCCACGTCAGCACCCGTCACTCACTCGCAGCCTCCCCCCTCCTGGCGCTTCCTTCCAACCTTAACCCCTTCCGCTGGGGCTGAGACTTTACCGGAACGGGCAGCGGCCCGGCCCCAGCCTGCGCCACCGGCCCCACTTGACACTTGCGGGGGAGGGCAGTGGGGGCGAGGAGGGCGGGGGACGCTAAGTCTGGGTCCCCGCAGAAGCCAAAAGGTTGGGAGACTGGACTTCCATCTCACAAGGGAGTACCAGCCTTGGGGCATTTGGACTCCCAAGAGGTCAGGGACTGGGCAGCTAGAAACCTGGGGAGGGGGCGGGGTGACGGCGGATGTTCTGATTCTCAGAGGGCAGAAGTTGGGGGACTGTATTCCTTAATCTCCGAGGGGATGAGGGGCAGCTTGGCAGCTTGGGGACCTGGCACTCAGAGGGGCCTTAGGGGCAGGACCAGATACAGAAATTTGCAGGGTCTCTGGTTCAAAACTTAAGAATTTCAAAGGCCGGGCGTGGTGGCTCACGCCTGTAATCCAAGCACTTTGGAGGCCAAGGCGGGAGGATCACCTGAGGTCGGGAGTTCAAGACCAGCCTGACCAACATGGTGAAACCCCGTCTTTAAAAATAATAATAATAATAGAAAATAAAAATTTCAAGACAGCGGCAGGACATTCTAAGCACTGTACTGGTGAAACTGATCACGCCAAGGGGCCTGAAAGTCTGTATCCCCAAAGGGACGGGGATTAGGGCACTGTATTTCTTGGTCTCTGAGGGGACAAGGATAGGCAAGGTAGTTTGGGATCCTGGAGCCCCGAAGAACTGGGGAAGTCCTTATTCGCTTAAAAACGAGTTAGGGCTATTTCTAGCTCCCAAGAGATGTTGGGAGTGGATGCCGGGATAAGGGGGACTTGCAGCCAGCTGGAGTCTGAACCCTGAGGGGTGGAGTTCCAGAGGGGCCCCCAGGCTGGAGCACTCGGGATTATGCGCCCCCCGACACACACACACAACTCAAGGGAGCTAGGTCTTCTTGGGCTGGGTTCCCCCTTCCCATGCCCCATTCGAGGATGGAAGTTGGGGTGCCGGGGGTGGCCAGGGTAGATCCCCGGCGAGACAGGCTTCCCTCCCCCGGGAGCAGGAAGCGGAGCCCCGCCCAGCAGACCTGTTACTGGAAGTCCGAGGGCTGGGTCGCCCCTCCCGTCCCCACTTCCTCCAGCCCCGCCCCACCCCCTGCGGCCCGCGCGTTTATGGGAACTCAGGCCTGGTCGGTTTCTCTGAAATCATTCGCTCTTTCTGCCCTTACTTAACCCCGGCCACCCCAAGAGGGACCCAGGCCAGGCGTCCTGGGAAATGCAGAGAAGCAGGGTCCCTTCCCAGGTACCCCGGCCCAGGTCCCGCCCCTCCAGCCACATTTTCTTTTTACACTTGGCTTTCACGGATTAGGAGCGGGGTTCAGCAGTTCACCTGCGCGATCTCACCCTGGCTTGTGGGCGCTGTACTTTACATAAGAGAAGGCTGAGGCTTCGAAAGGCCCCCATGGCTTCGCCCTAGCACGCAGGGAGGCTAGGAGGGGTTTTGGCCCAATCTGCAACTCTGGCCCCAGGATTTCTGCACTTCCGTCAGAATCACCTGGGAGGCTGGCTTAAACTGGATTCTAGAGACACATTTCACAAGAGAGGCGGGTGGTGGTGAGAAAGGAATTACTTAGTAAACAGACTAAGAACGTGCAGGCCGGGCGAAGTGGCACACGCCTGTAATCCCAGCACTTTGGGAGGCTGAGGCAGGTGAATCACAAGGTCAAGATATTGAGACCATCCTGGCCAACACGGTGAAACCCCATCTCTACTAAAAATACAAAAATTAGCTGGGCATGGTGATGAGCGCCTGTAATCCCAGCTACTCAGGAGGCTGAGGCAGGAAAATCGCTTGAACCCAGGAGGCAGAAGTTGCAGGGAGCCGAGATCATGCCACTGCACTCCAGCCTGGCAACAGTACAAGACTCCATCTCAAAAAAAAAAAAAAGATCATGCAGCCCACCTCTGGCCCTCCACTCTGTCCCTCAGCCCCTGCAAACACATACAGGCATGCTCGCGCACACACACACAGAACCAGTCTCCGAATAGTTGTTCCAGGTTGGGGTCTTTGGAAACTGAGCAGGAAGTTTATTGGAAACGCTCTCCGTCAACACCTGTGGGATGAAGGAAGCCCATCTGGGCAGAGGGAGGTGGTGAGCTGCTGTGTCGTCTCCACACGGCCTCAGCCGTCCCACAGAGAATACTGAAGCTGGAGTGGCCTTCAACATTGAGGCCAGAAGGCAAGGCCTTCTTTGCTGACATTAACCAGTGACTGGATTCCATTGGAGGGCAGCCGCCCTTGATCCACATGGGGCGTGGCCTTGGGTGAGCAGCTCTCTTCAGCTGAGGGCAATTCCCAAATTGTCTGAAAGCTGACAATCTTCCCAGAAGCTAAGGGAGTGAGTCCTTCAGTCTGGAAGGGGGTTCTGGTCTGTAGAGCCTGCCTCGCCATCGCAGTTTGTCCTCACCTCCCTATTTTTATTTTATTTTATTTATTTTTTTGAGATGAAGTCTTGCTCTGTTGCCCAAGCAGGAGTGCAGTGGCATGATCTTGGCACATTTCAACCTCTGCCTCCTGGGTTCAAGCGATTCTCCTGCCTCAGCCTCCTGAGTAGCTGGGACTACCAGTGCAAGCCACCATACCTGGCTAATTTTGTATTTTTAGTAGACACCAGATTTCACTGTGTTGGCCAGGCTGGTCTCAAACTCCTGACCTCGTGATCCCCCTACCTCGGCCTTCCAAAGTGCTGGGATTACAGGTGTGAGCCACAGCGCCCAGCCTATTTTTTTTTTTTTTTAAGGTGGAGTCTCACTCTGTCACCCAGGCTGGAGTGCAGTGCCACGAACTTGGCTCACTGCAACCTCTTCCCTCCCAGTTTCAAGCGATTCTCCTGCCTCACCCTCCCGAGTAGCTGGGACTACAGGCGCATGCCACTGCATCCGGCTAATTTTTTATTTTTAGTAGAGACAGCGTTTCACCAGTTAGCCAGGCTGGTCTTGAACTCCTGACCTCAGGCGATCTGCCAGCTTTGGCCTCCCAAAGTGCTGGGATTACAGGCATGAGCTACCCCACCCAGCCACCCCCCTTTTAGTCAAAACTTTTGTTCCAAGCTGGGCATGGTCGCTCATGCCTATAATCCAGCACTTTGGGAGGCTGAGGCAGGAGGATCACTTGAACCCAGCAGTTAGAGACCAGCCTGGGCAATATAGTGAGACCCTCTCTCTACAAAAAATCAAAAATAAGCCAGGGTTGGCAGTGCATGCCTATAGTCCCAGCTACTCAGGAGGCTGAGGAGGTGGGTGGATCTTGAGCTTGGGAGGTTAAGCCTGCAGTGAGCCGTGATTGTGACACTGTGCTCAACTTGGGCAACAGAGCAAGACCCCATCTCAAAAAAAAAAAAAAAAAAAAAAAGGTTTTATTCCTCATAGGCAGCCCTTGTGTCTCTTAAGGTTGGAGGCTGATACATAGTCACAACTAGCAGAGACCTTCATAGCATCTAGTTCATCCCCATTCATTTCACAGATGAGAAAACTATGGCCTGGAAAGGGATCGGAACTTGGTTACCAGCTTCACAGATGGCCCAGGTGATCACTAAGATGGATTCATTAATTCAGAGCATGTTAGTGGAGCGTCTGCCCAGCATTAGGCACCATTCCAGGCACTGCCAAGGGCATGATGCAGGCAAAACACGCCTATAATCCCAGCATTTGGGGAGGCCAAGGCAGGCGGATCACCTGAGGTCAGGAGTTCAAGACCAACCTGGCCAACATGGTGAATCCCTATCTCAACTAAAAATAAAAAAATCAGCAGAGCATGGTGGCAGGAGGCCTGTAATCCCAGCTACTCGGGAGGCTGAGGCAGAAGAATCGTTTAAACCTGGAAAGTGGAGCTTGCAGTGAGCCGAGGTTGCAGCATTGCACTCCAGCCTGACAGACAAGAGTGAGACTGAGTCTTAAAAAACAAAAAAACAAAGAAAAAAAAAGGCCTGCCCTGAAGGAGCTGCCATTCTCTGGGGGAGATTCAGACAGACAACAAACTGTGCAATGTGTCAGCTGATGACTGGAGGAAAAGAAGCAGGGGGAGGGGGAGGGAGCAGCTGCTATACCATCTTTTTTTTTTTTTTTTTTTT